GTAGTTGCCCTGGCTCTACTCCCTTGAGCCTGGTGAGCACAGAGACGCTCAGACGCGCTGGTTCTCCCGCCCTGGCCCTGGCCCCTGCCGCCTGCCCCAGCCTGGGCTTCCACTTCGGACCAGGGTGGAGGAGGACCAGAGTAGGGGGCAAGGGATGGGCCTTGGGGAATCAGGTGGGGGCGAGGGGAGGGGGACAGGCAGGGTGACTCTTGCTGGTGGCCGCAGCACCCATACCCCTCCGAGGAGCAGAAGAAACAGTTGGCACAGGACACGGGGCTCACCATCCTGCAAGTCAACAACTGGTGAGTGGCCCGGGGACTGGTGTCTGCGGGCTGGCGTCCGCGGGCCGGCCAGGGTGGGAGGCCAGGCGCTGTCCGCGGTGCTGACGGAGGCCCGGAGACGCTCCGCCCCCTGGCGCCGGCTTTGCCTCTCCTGCAGTCCTCGCCTCCCGCTGCCCGGTGCGACCCTGCCTCCCCTGCTCCGTCCTCACACCCGCTCGGTTTCCTTGACCGCCTCCCAGGTTCATTAACGCCCGGAGACGCATCGTGCAACCCATGATCGATCAATCCAACCGCACAGGTACACAGACGGTGGGGACGGAGGGCCTGGGCCTTGCAGGGCGTGTTAAAGCCGGGTCTCGGGTTTTCTGGGGCTCACCCCTTACCTCCCTTCGCAGGACAGGGTGCGGCCTTCAACCCAGAGGGCCAGCCCATGACTGGCTACACTGAGACTCAACCCCATGTGACTGCCCGGCAGCAGGGTAAGGCCCCGCCCTCTTAGCTAAGCCACACCCCTGCACACCAGGCCCGTCCTCTAGACAGGGATGCCCCGCCTCCTGAGAGTCAGTTCATAAATAATACAGGAATTGGGGAACCAGCAGTTAGCATAATGGCTATGTCGCCGGACTCCCACGTAGTCGACCGCGGTTCGCGTCCCGGACCCGGTGGCTTGAAACTCATGCCGGGTACATGTGCATGCGTGCCCAAGACCCTGAGAGGAGAATGGAGGAGAGGGGATTGCGGCGTGACCATCCCCCCTGGGGGGTGATTTCTCGCTTTCTGTCTCTATGTCTCTCTCTGTCTGTCTGGCGAGCGCACGCGCCCTATAGCTCTTTTGCTACAGGGTGCGTGTGCTCTCCAGAGAGACAGAGAGACAGAAAGCAAGAAATCACACGCCCCCATCCCCCCACCCACCGGGGGGGATGGCCACACCACAATACCTTCTCCATTCTCCTCTTGGGATCTTGGGCACACACGCACACGTGCCCAGCATGAGTTTAAGCCACCGGGTCCAGGACTTGAACCGCAATCGACTACATGGGAGTTCAGTGACATAGCCATTACATCAGCTGCTGGTCCCTTTTCTTTTCTTTTTTTTTATCGTAATTTCTGATTTATATATAATCTTACCTATGTAGGATACGGTATGTTTTTTAATGCACGTATATGGTGTACACTAATCAAATTAAGGATATAACATACCGGTCATCTTCAGCATTTAATGGTACATTACGTCTGCACATTTGGTAAGGAAAGATTCTAATTTTTCTTAAAGGGCCGGCACCTACTTTGAAGATGAATCAGTCCATCCTGGTAGTGGGATCCCCTGGTGAAAGAAGGGGTAACAGGGACTAGGAGCCCCACCTAGGTGTCTGGGGAAGACCTCCTCTAACCCTCTTCCTTTGTCTCCCAGGATCAGTGGGGATGAGCTTGAACCTGGAAGGAGAGTGGCATTACCTGTAGACATGTGAGTGTCCGAGGTCTAGGGACTGTGCGTCTCTACTGACCCAGCAGGGGACCCGCCCAAGGAGGGTCAGCCAGGGCCTGACTGGAGAGCCCTTCAAGGCTCTGCGAGAAGACGCTTCATCCTTCCAAACCCCTTCTCCACCTACGTCTTCCCTCCCTCACTCTCCGCATATTTACCCACCCATCAATCACCCACCTCCACGGCTCATCCAAACTCACATGCATGCACCACACACTCCCTCCCTGACCCCCCGTCTCCCCACCCCTACCCACCCACCACCTCTCCACGGACCCGCCCATGCACACACCCACCCATTAACCCATGCACTCACCCGCCTAGCTACCTTAACATGCATCCACCTGTCCAGCCGTCTGGCAGTCACGTATCCACCCACCACCCGTCTTCCATTGGCACCTACATCTCACCCGTCTGTCCGCCTCCACACTGGCCACCCGCCCACCCGTTTACCCACCCATCTACTCACCCACGCGTCCCGTTACCCGTGATTCACCCCTGCTCACCCACACATTCCGTTACCCGTGATTCACCCCTGCTCACCCACGCGTCCCGTTACCCGTGATTCACCCCTGCTCACCCACGCGTCCCGTTACCTGTGATTCACCCCTACTCACCCGCACATCCCGTTACCCGTGATTCACCCCTGCTCACCCACACGTCCCGTTACCAGTGATTCACCCCTGCTCACATCCCGTTATCTGTGATTCACCCCTGCTCACCCGCACATCCCGTTATCTGAGATTCACCCCTGCTCACCCGCGTGTCCCGTTACCCGTGATTCACCCCTGCTCACCCGCACGTCCCGTTATCTGTGATTCCCCCCTGCTCACCCTCACATCCCGTTACCCGTGATTCACCCCTGCTCACCCGCGTGTCCCGTTACCCGTGATTCACCCCCACTTACCCTCACATCCCGTTACCCATGATTCACCCCCGCTCACCCTCACATCTATCCACTGAACCCTCACCCCCTTCCCGACGTGCCTCAGCTAGGGAAGGGAGCCTCTCGAGACTATTCTGTCCTTGCGGAGAAGAACAGAACCCGATGAGCCCGATGACTATCCTGTCCTTGCGGCCATCAGAACCTGACGACAGTCCCATACTCCAGTTCTTGGGCTGAAACCATGAAATGTAGCTTGCCCACGGGAGGGAGTCCACAGGAGTCATCAGCTATCTCTGAGGTATCAGAGAAGACTTCCTGGAGGAAGTACCCTCTGGATGGGGCACTGAAGGATGCATAGGAGCCCACTGGGCGGAGGTGGAGGGTAAGATAAGATGGCGGGTGCTCTCCTCTCTCCTCCAGGTGGGAGATCTCTCGGTCCCACAGCACACCAGTGTTTGGGACATGAGCATCTCATTCAGTCCTCAGAGCAACCCCAACAGAGAAACTTACTGCTCTCACTACACAGATGAGGAAACCGAGGCTCAGAGAAGAGGCCACTTGTGCAGGCTCACCCCACGCAGGGGAGCAGAGGGGACAGGGCGTGCAGAGGCCCAGGCCTGAAGGCAGCCTGGAGTTTCTAAAGCTCGGGTCAAAGCGCGTGCAGAGGCCCCGGGCTGAAAGCAGCCTGGAGTTTCTAAAGCTCGGGTCAAATCTCCACTCCTTGGATTCAGCTCCTTCTGCGGCTCCCTAGTGCCTCTGGACAAAGTCCTGGCTTAGGAGCCACCCACCCACCCACGCATTCTTCCATTCAGCACACGTCCCCTGTGCCCAGCCCCCTGCTGGGTTGTGCTGGGGACACAGCAGTGACCGTCACAGTGCAGTGGGGGACAGGCCCTTGCTAGACGGACAGCGACATCCCAGATTGGCCTGGGTGGGATGTGGAAGTCCAGGAACTCGAGGAGCCCAGAGGGGCATCGGGCCCAGGCTGTGAGGGACAGGAAGGGAGAAAGCTCAGGGAGGGCTTCCTGGAGGAGAGAACATTGGAGCTGAGACCAGGAGTATGGGAAGAATGAGGAGAAGGGAGTCTAGCAGAGGAAACGGCATATGCAAAGGCTCTGAGCACTGAGAAATCCGGCTATGAGTCAGCCCTGGCCCCGGCCTGGCCGCCCCACCACACACACACAGAGGGGAGGGAGGACGTGGGCTGGGCGGAGGCAGGTGGGTCATGAATTCAGGATGAGAGCAGAGACTTTGGCAGGGTTAGCACGGAGGGGCCACAGAGGCCTGAGGCGAGGGGGAGAGATGGCCCAGGTGTCCAGGGCCTGGAGGACAGTGGGCTCAGCCCCACTGCGGCCGAGGTGGGGACAGGTGTGGCCCGGCTGAGTGGCGACCTCCGGGTGGGCAGTGGTAGAGGAGGCTTCTCGTCCTCCTCCCCGGCTCCCTTTTCCCCCCGCACTGCCTGTCACTTCCCGTTTCTGTCTCTCTATCCCTCGTTGTTCCCCTCTTTGTCTCTGTGTCTCTGCTGTCTGCCTCTATACGACTCTTTCCTCCCTCTCTACATTTTTAAAAAAGAATTATTTAATTAATTTTTTTTTTTTAAAGAGATTTTTGCTATAGGGCACATGCACTCACCAGAAAGACAGAGAGAGACAGAGAGACAGAAAGCGAGAAACCACCCTCTGGGGGATGGCCACGCCACAGTCCCTTCTCCTCCGCTCTCTTCTTGGGATTTTGGACACGCTCGCACATGCACCTGGCGTGAGTTTCAAGCTGCTGGGCCCGGGACTTGAACTGCGGTCAGCCATGTGGGAGTCCAGTGCCTTAACTACCACTAGATCTGCTGGCAATTATTATTATTATTGTTATTATTATTATTAATTATTATTATTGTTTTAATTCACCAGAGAGAGGGAAAGTGAGAAAGCAAGCCACCAGGTTCAGGACTTGAACTGTGATTGACCACGTGGGAGTCCAGAGTCCAGAGCCTTAACCACCACGCCACCTGCGAGCTAGCTCCTCTTTTGTTTTTTTAATTTAAGGTTCTTTTTTGTATTTTGCACTTGTGTTTAGTTTTGTCTTTGTAGTTTCTCTTTCTACATCTTCAGCTCCTTTTCTCTCAATGTCCCTCCCCGCCCGTGTGTCCTGTAATCGCTAGCTTTCTCTACCCTTCCGTCCCTCCTCCCTCTCCTGCTCCTGCTCCTGCTCCAGCTCTCCTCCTCTTTCTATGCTCCTGTCCCTCCCTCCTTCCCTCCCTCTCCTTCTGCCTCTCCCTCTCTCCCTCTCTCCCTCTCTCCCTCTCTCCCTCCTTCTCCTCTCCCTCCAGGCCTCCTCCCTCAGCTGCTCTGTTTTCACTGCCTCACTTTGAGGCTGGCAGGGGAGACCAGGGCGGGGCTGATGTGGGCCAGCGCCCTCCCCTCCTCCTGACTCAGCCTCTCCCCCTCCCTGCAGAGCCCAGCCTACCGCCTGTGACCACCAGCCTCACGCCTGGTTCTGGCCCCCGCCTGCCCCGTGGCCTGCCCCGTGGCTCCAGGACCTGCCTCCAAAGGCCCCTCCATTCAACGCCTACCTCCCTGGGGCCCCACCAGGACTGGGGGCCCTGAGCACCCACTGGAGGGTCTCTCAAGGACACAGACGAGGCCTCCAGGCCCTGAACCCTGGCCCTCCCATCAGCTCCACCTGGACTCGAGCTGAGAAAGTGGGCCTGGGTCTCCAGAAGCTGGTGGCTGGGGGTCCCCACCTTCAGGACAGAGAAGGGATTGGGTGGGCTGGGGCTGTCAGGGGAGGAGGGTCACCCAGATCTGACATTTTGGGACAATTCCTTCATCCTCCCACCCCACTCCTTTTTTGCCCCCCACCTTTCTTCTCTGTTGTCTACCGTTTTTTGTTTTTTTTTTTTTAATGATAAAGTCTTTAAAACACAAAGTTACTAGTTGGAGTTCCTGCGTCTCTTCTGAGATGTGAAACTCTCATCAATTCAAAGCTAGTGAATCAGTAATAATATCAGTTGATACTTTTTATTCTGTTTGTTCCTTGGGCGCCCTGTGTGTATCAGTTAGCTACTGCTGGGTAACAACCCCCCCCCAAAAAAAATGCCAGCTCTTTAAGTTCATTGATTAGCGGGTTGCTATTGTGTCCTGCGCTCAGCTGAGCAGTGTTTGTAGGGGTTTTGTTTTTTATTTTTTTGAGAGAGATTTTTGCTATAGGGCACATGTGCTCACTTAAAAGACAGATTGAGACAGAGAGAGAAAGAGATGTAAGGGGATGGCCATGCTGTAATCCCCTCTCCTCTGTTCTCCTCTTGGGATTCTAGGTGCACACTCAAGCAGCTGACAGGATTTAAGCCACCAGATCTGAGACTTGAACCACAGTTGGCTATGTGGGAGTCCGGCACCATGCCACCTGCTGGCCCCCGTGCTGTGGTTTCCACAGGGCGCTCTCGTGTGTCTCCCGTCAGTCTGGATCAGCCTGGTCTGTCAGACTGCAGCATTCTCAGGGCCACCACGAGTCTCGAGGCCAGCCCAGGTTCAAGGGAAGAGACTCTGGTTCTTGTGGGTGGGGTGTTGGGGAGCCTCACAGTCACACTGAGAGACCTGGGTCCTGGGAGGAAAGAATCGTGGCCACTTTTGCATCCGGCCGTCCACCACACTGACCTCAGCCGGACACGACCATGCGTGGTAGCCGTGGCGCTCAGGGGCCGTCACCTCTCTGGTCTTCCCCTCCGGAAGGCAGCAGGTCGAGGTGCTGGGGTGCTGGCTAAGGGAGATACCGCAGGGGGCTGCTGAGAGGAGCCGGGAGGGCGCCTGGCTCGAAGGTTACGTGTAACTGGGGAAACTGAGGCTCAGAGGCTGGGGTGGCGAGTCTCAGCTAACCAGACCTCCGTGCCCCCAGAGGGACCTGAAGGTGGAGTGTGGGCTCTCTCTCCCTGGTTTCTGTCTCTCTGTCTCTCTCCTCCTCTCGATGTCTCCATTTCTCCCACGTCTCCTCCTCCCTGTTCCTCCCACCTCACCTCTCTGGTCCCCTTTCCTGGGTGGCCCCTCAGCCCCAAGTGCCCCACCCCCACCCTCTCCTCAGAGCGGCCTTGGGCCTCTTAGTCTCTTGCCCACGCACCACGCCCCAAGCCATGGTTGCACCCGCTGTGGGGTCAACACCCCCACCCCCCGCCCCAAGCCATGTTTGCACCCGCTGTGGGTTCAAGGACCCAGGGACGTGTGTGTGTCTGATAGGTGTTGGGGTGCCTTGAAAAATGTGACTCCCCCCCCAAGTGCCCCAAACTGAGATGCACACGGGAAGACGCACAGGGACACACACAGACGCACAGTGGCACGTGCAGAGGTGCACGCGTGCGCTCTGAAACACACGCGCTGAGACCCGGCCACACGCAGAGACAGCTTCCCCGGGGACTCAGGGAGGGCCGCAGACGGGGCACGTGCACGTCCCACAGCGCACGCCCACGCTGCTGCTCGGGTGTGCCACGTGCTCAGGCACACGCTCGTGGACACGCGTGCTCACACTCCGTGCCTGAGCACACACCTCGATGCTCACATGCTCACACCCAGATGTCCACACCCTCACGGGCTCACACGTATTCAGAAACGTTCACGAGCACGTTTGTGCTCACTCTCAACACTCAGGACCACAGTAACACGCTGGTCTCACCTCCGCACACGTTCACGCTCACGCCCAGGACGGGTGCCCGCAGGACGTGGGCAGACCTGCCACTCAGTTACCTGGGGACAGTTGTGTGTGGCCAACAGGGAGACCAGGAACCTGGACTCGGGTCCAACCTGCCTGGGTTCAAGTCCCCGCTCTGCTGTCCCCTCCTCCGTGCAGGGACCCTGCCTCGAAGCACAGCTCACACGCATTCGTGTCTCATTTGCCACAGCCTCAGAGTCCTCGTGGCACCCACAGGGACACCGAGTCCTGGGGAGGCCCAGTTTCTACTCTCGCCCAGGCCCCCCCGGCTCGTCTGCTCAGCACCACTGAGGCAGCCCTGACCCAGGGAGCGAGGGGTGGGCCAAATGTCACCCTTATTGAGACCCAGTGCCACAGACCTGGGCTCCCGCCGTCCTGCTGCGTCCTGCTGTGTCATGTGTTTCGTCTCATCGATTTGGAAGTGGGCACATCTGAAAGCGTCCGGTCATGTCGGGGCTCTCCCCTGCCTTCCCGCTGCAGGGACTATGGGCGCCATTGCGTGGGGTGCTCGGGCGACCCGGCATCCACACCCCGCCTCCACCACGTGGCTCCAGCATCGCATAGCAGCTCCCCCACCTGACCCTGCACCCCTGTGCCACCTCGGCTGGGCCACTCCGCAGTTGTTCCCGACACCCCGGAGCTTTAGATTTGGACATTGTGGAAAGTGGCCGCTCCCTGCCTTCCAGGGACTCTGTCCTGGCGGTCCCTTTGCCTGGGACACCTTCCCAGGCTCTGGTCACCTCTATGGAGAAGGAGCACCCCCCAGTCAGGAGCTGTCCCTGGGGTTCTCTGTCACTCGTTCGCCTGTTTCCTATTGGCTTGAGCCTCAGCCCCAGAGCAAGGCAAAGCTGGTCTTCCTCTGCCATAGCTGGAGGCCTCAGCCCGGCCCAAGGAACGGGAGAGCAAAGGGGTGACTCCACAGGTCTGGGTGACTCCCCAGTCCAGGCTGGGTGGCCTCTGCTCACTCGGAGATCCTAGCAGCAAGTGTGCCCTCTGGGATTGCTCTCTGCCTGCCGGTCCCTGCACAGGGGCATCAGCGGAAGTCAGCTGGGGACCAGCAGTTGGCGTAATGGCTATGTTGCTGGACTCCCATGCGGTCTACTGCAGTTCGAGTCCCGGACCCGGTGGCTTAAACTCACACCGGGTGCGTGTGCGTGCGTGTCCAAGATCCAGAGAGGAGAATGGAGGAGAAGAGATTGCTGCGTGGCCATCCCCCCTGGGGGGTGAT